GTCTGAGGCCCCCGCGGGGCCTGGCCACGATTCTGCACCCCACTCCTGGCCTCCACGTCTCAGCCGGTGGACGGAGTCCCCAGGCCAGCGCCAGGCTGCAGAGCACTGGGCAGTGTGGGGGTCCCCGTCCAGCCAGCAGGGACAGCGGGGAGGACGCTGCGGTGTGGCAGGCCTCCCACCCAAGTGGCAGGTTTCTGCGCGATGGCACAGACTGGGGGCACTTGCTCCTGCCGTGTGCGGAAGCCGCGGTCCGTCTTGCCGCCAGAGGAGGAAGCAGCCTGGGAGCTGTGCTGCGGCTCCCCTCTCATGACAGCCCCCCGGGCAGGAAGTGGCAGGCCCGTCCCAGCGGCCCTGGGACCACCGGCTGACAGCCCAGGGTGTCCGTGGAGGGACCGGCCTGAGCATCTGCGGCAGGAGGCCATCTGGGCCCGTGTCCTGGACACAGATTTCTGTGCCGTGCAGGGGCAGGCAGGGACATTTGCTGGCTGGGATGGCTTCTGGGGACCCCACACCATCCGGGCTGGACCCTGGGACTCGGCTCCTGAACCTTGCCGGGAGGCACCCCAGACGACAGACCAGGGCCTGTGAGCCGGCGTCCCTTCCAAGCCTGGTGCTGCCCTGAAACCCTTGCACGGCTCGTCTTCTCCTCCTCAGTGGCCGGTGTTTGTTCCATTACAACTGGGAAATTTTAAAAACTGCAGTTAGAGTTTTTTAACGTTTCCCCACAAAATATTGGGCCACACTGAGGCTAACCTGAGAGTTACAACCCTGGGTGTGTGTGACCAGGGCCCTCTGCAGCCAGGGGCACCGGCAGGGCTGGGGGTGCGAGGGTGCGGTGGAGGGGGGGCTCAGGCCGGGAGCCCTGCGGGTGGGGCCGTGGGGGTGGGGCTGGGGGCCAGGAGGCCACGCCCCGGGCTCGCAGCCACCCCGCCCGGCCTGCGCCCCTCCCTAGCCAGCCTGGGGGGTGAGAGCAGTGAGGGGCCGGCCCTGGACTTTCAGGCGGGTAGACCTCAGTGGCAGGGTGGGGTTGCGGGTTGCGGATTGCGAGGAGCAGCCCCTGCCCCACCAGGCCCAGGTGCCGCCAAGGTGCTACCGGCTCCCGAGAAGGGGGCTCCCGGGGCTCCGAGCCGGCTCCAAGGACCAGCACTCTGGGTGGGCTCAGCAGGGAGCGCAGGACACACAGGAAGGGACGACCCCAGCCTTGGTTCCAGGGGCTTCCTGGGGGGTGCTCGGAGCCTGGCTTGGCTCAGGGTCCCTCCAAGGGGCCTCAGGACCAGGGGGGCTGTTGCTTGTGAATTGAAGGCAAAGCAAGCAGAGCCCTCCGGAGTAAGGAGACAGCTACCGGGGCGCAGAGACGCCACGTGTGGTCGCCCCACGGGGTGCAGGGGCGCGTGGAAAGCTCACCGCTGGCAGCTGTGCCATTTCACTCGGCGGATGCGGCGTCTAAAGAGCGCGTGGAAGGGGCGGGCTACTGCCCTTCCTGGCCGACATCTGCCTCCCTAGTGGACTGTGGGCCTGGAGGTCCCCAGGGGCCCCCGTGCAGGCAATGAGCCCCCGCCCCGGCACTAATGATCAGTCACAGGGCTGGGGTACTCTCCCTCCCCAATGGGGGGGTGGCTTCCGTGTTCCCCAAGGCAGAGGGAGGAGGCCACCCCTGTGGACTGAGTCCCCCCTGCCTTCCACACGCCTAAAAGGGCCAGCAGGAAGCCCCTGCAGGGACAGTGACCCTGGCCAGCCCTCAGGGGGAGGCCACCCCCACCCCAGCCCCACCCCGCCGGGTCCTTCCTGGAACCAAGGGGGTGGAGACCGTGGCTGGTGTGTCCCCGGCTCTGGGTACCTCCTGGCCCTGCAATCTCACAGCACGCGGAGCATGTGATACCAGCCCCCCTCACGACCCGGGAGCCACGGCTTGCCCAGCTTGGAGGGGCTGAGTCAGGTGAATCCAGTACGTGCCCCGAGCGTCACACCCCTGCCCCAGCCCGCCCTGGGCTGGTCTCGGCCCTCCTGGGCCGTGCCATGAGCCTGTGCAGGCAGTGAGAGACCACGTGGCCAGTGGAAGGGTGGCCTCGAGGGTGCTCCTGACAGCCCTGGGCGGGGACACTCAGCTCCACCCCAAGGCTGCCCTGAGCAGTGTGGTGAGGGCCTGGGGCAGGGCTGCCCACCCCGGCTGTGACCCCTGGGAGCTCCAGGAGGGGACACTGTGACCGCAGACATGGGCCTGGGATGGCCCCTCAGGCCAGTCTCAGCAGGGCCTCCGGAGCACAGGCCGGGCGGGGTGCTCACGGGGTGGCGGGAGGGAGACCAGAGCTCCCCTGCTGGCCTGGGCGTCTGCTGCAGCCCTGCCCGCAGGGGCGGAGGCGTGGGCCAGGGCCAGGGCGGTGTGGGGGCAGTTGGCCACCCTGGCTTTGTCCGGGAGCCAGGCCTTCGCACCCCACGGAGCTCTCCCTGCCACTGCCCGGGCCTCGAGTGCTGGAGGGCGGGGCTGCCTCAGCTGAGCCCGGAGTCGGCTCTGAGCTCCTTCTGCCCAGCAAGAGGCGGGGCCCCGCGGAGGGCGGGGCCTGCCCTCTGCTGACCCCTGCTCCCTTCTGCTTGGCTGCAGCCCAGGACCATGAATGACACCTGCAGCGCCCCCGACTGGCCCCCGCCCCTCAGGTACATCTTCTACGCCTACCTGGGCACGCTGCTGGTGCTCGGCCTGCTGCTCAACGGCCTGGCGCTCTGGGTGTTCTGCCGCCGCATGCAGCAGTGGACGGAGACCCGCGTCTACATGACCAACCTGGCGGTGGCCGACCTGTGCCTGCTCTGTGCCCTGCCCTTCGTGCTGCACTCCCTGAGGCACACGTCCAGCGACACGCCGCTGTGCCAGCTCTCCCAGGGCGTCTACCTGACCAACAGGTACATGAGCATCAGCCTGGTCGTGGCCATCGCCGTGGACCGCTACCTGGCCGTGCGGCACCCGCTGCGGGCCCGCAGCTTCCGCTCCCCGCGGCAGGCCGCGGCCGTGTGCGCCATCCTCTGGGTCCTGGTCGTCAGCTCCCTGGTGGCTCGCTGGGTCCTGGGGATACAGGAGGGCGGCTTTTGCTTCTCGAACCACTCCCGGCACAACGTCAAGACCACGGCGTTCTCGCTCACGGGCTTCTACCTGCCGCTGGCCGTGCTGGTCTTCTGCTCTCTGCAAGTGGTGACCGCCCTGGCGCGGAGGCCAGCCACCGACACGGGGCAGGCGGAGGCCACCCGCAGGGCTGCCCGCATGGTTTGGGCCAACCTGGCCGTGTTCGTGGTCTGCTTCCTGCCTCTGCACATGGTGCTGACGGTGCACGTGGCGCTGGGCACGCAGGCCTGCGCCGTCCGCAGCACTCTCCGCCATGCCCTCTTCCTCACGAGCAAGCTCTCGGATGCCAACTGCTGCCTGGACGCCATCTGCTACTACTACATGGCCAAGGAGTTTCAGGAGGCGTCTGCCCTGGCCACGCCCCCCAGCGCCAAGGCCCACAAGAGCCAGGACTCCCTGTTCATGACCCTCTCGTAGGAGGCACGCCATGGGCGCCGTGGGTGCTGTGGGCCGGGGCCGGGGTCTCCAGAGGTGCCTCCTCTCGGGGGAAACTATGGGCAGCAGCAAGCCCTCGATGGGCCCTGAACTGGCTGTGGGCTGGGGCCTCTCTAGCAGCCCGGGGGTGGAATGACCCAGGCACGGATGACCCGGGGACAGGGACAGAGACGAGGGCAAGAGAACGGAGGCCTGAGCAAGGCCGATCCCGGGGACCTGGGCCAGGCCACACACCTGCCACCCCGGACTTGGCACAGCTGGGCAGGTGGGGTCCTGCAGGGTGGAGTCAGGCCTGAGCGCCAGCCTCCCCCCGGAGCAGGAATGAAGCCCCACGGGAGCGGGTCCTGGCAGGGCCCTCTGTGACGCCTGCACTCAGCGGCAGGAGGCAGGCAGGGGGCACGTGGCTCGGAGGGCAGGGGACATCTCCCAGAGGACTCTCTGGGGCTCTCTACTTGGGGCCCTCTTTGGGCCCTGTCACCCCTCCCCACCTGTCTGGAGAGCTGGTGGGCCGTCGGCAGCTCTCACAGGGCCACGCTGGAGGCCTACGCCCAGTTTCCTGGGGCCCAGGCAAGGCTCAAGCCCTGGAGGGCTGCACGGCTAGGCTGGCGGGAACGGCAAGGATCAGGCAGACGGGGGCAGTGAAGGAGGGGCCGGGTCTGTGCAGCGGGGCAGCGCTCTGGTCCTTCCTTCAGGGAAAAGCCAGAGCTGCATCTGGCAGGAGCAGGGACCGGGCGCCCACACAGGCAGACGCAGGGAAGTCCGGGCCTCCAAGCTCAAGCTGGAATGACCGGAGCCTGCAAGTCATGTGACTTGTGGTCTGCTTGGAGCCTGCCTATGGGGTGGCAGACGGCTTGGTCTGGTGCCTGTGACCCAGGGCTCTGGAGTCCCCCACCGCCCCTCCTTCGACAGGCCCCAGGGCCCCAGGGCCACTGAAACATCCTGCCTCTGAGTCCCGGGGCTTCGTGGACAGGGCCCATCAGCAGAACCAGCTCGGGGAGCTGGGGTGCATTTGGAGGGGCGCAGGGGTGCAACAGCCCCGGGGTCCTCCCTCTCTGTCCCATCCTCTGTCCCCAGAGCCCCTGCCCCTTGGCTGAGCCAGATCTTTCCAGGGCTTTGAGGACCATCACAGAGAAAAGTCCAGAAACACCATGGCCAGGCTGAGCCTGAATCCTTCCCACCGCCAGGCCTGGGCCCGCCCACCCCCACATAGTCACCTGGCACTGGCCACCGGGCCCACCCCCTGCTCGCTGCCCCGCCTGCCCACCCCGCAGCACCGAGGGAAAACTCAGCCAGAGCCCAGGCCCCCCCAACTCGTGCGTCCCCTGCAGCACGGGGCTCACCACCCGCCTACGGACTGGGCCTGGCGCCACCTGCCCACGAGGGGCTGACCGCCACCCACCCTTCAGGCTGCTCTCTGCCTGGAAGGCCTCCTCATGGGGGTCCCCTGCCTGTGTCCCTTCCTCAGGCGCCCAAGCCCTCTGCCACCCCGCCCATGAGCGACTTTCCCCGAGCCCCTTGTCTGCAGCAAGTGAGGCGAGTGATCAGCAGTGCCCGGTGCAGAGGGGATGGGTAAACGCCACATGGAGATGCCCCTCTCCTCCCTCCACCCTGCCCCACCCCTGGCTGAGTGACCCTCCATGTCCCCAGGAACAGGCACGGACCAGCTTCCCTTTGAACAGGTCCCAGCCCTGCGACTGGCCCCCACGCCCATCTGGTACTACCCCAGGGCTCTTGCACACGTTCTGATCCTCAGACCCTGCGCCCCCTCTGGAAACTCTTCCAGCTCTCACCAACACCCCTCTCCGGCTTTGTCGGGCACAGCGGAGCTGACGGTCCCTCTATCCCTGCCTCCCCACCCTGGCCCTACACGATCTTCACCTCCCGAGGGACAGAGAAGTCCATGTAACGATTCTTACCCTCGAATGGGATTCCTGCCAGGCTGAGCAGCTGAGCTGGGCCAGATGTGGAGGTCCAGAGACACAGGCAGAACTGGGCCTGGTCCTACCCAGCGCTGGGGGACTGAGGAGTAGGGCACCCACACGGCCAGTGTAGACCAGTGATGGCAAGCAGCTTTAGATGGGAAGGTAACTGGCCAGGCGGTGGTAGTTCCAAGAGCCCTGTGTTAAGGAGGATTCCGAGGCTCCGTCTGGGCGCACAGGCACAGGGAGCAGCAACGTCTGCGAGGCACAGCGCGTGAACTGAGCCCTGCCCCCACCTGTGCTCCTCGGGCTGCCGTCACAGGCAGGAGACCAGAGCAGCAGGAGGGGTAGAGGTGGTCCTCCCGGCGTCTCCGCCGGGTCTCCCACGGTGTGCGCTGCTGGCAGCGGCAGAGGAGCCCCCTCCAAGCACCCACGGGCCCCGAGGGGTACGCGGAGCCTCCGCAGGCGTGCCTACGGCGGGGGCAGGTGCACACGCTCCCTCTCCCTCCTGCCCCCTCCCGGCTCCCGGCATGGCGGAGACAGCTGGACTTTTGCAAGAGCCCCCCAAAACACGGAGGGGAGGCAGAGGCGAAGCACAGACGCCATCAACACCCCAGGAACTAACCGTCCGGCCCTGACTTCGGCTCACACGCTCTGCCTGCCCCACCCCCGGGCCTGGCGTCTCCCTCGCACGAGACCGGGCACAGACCCCCAGAGGGCTCAGGGCAGCCCGGCCCCATCATCACCAGCAGAGCCACCGATAATCAACAGGGACAGGCACCTGGAGGAGAAGGCGACTCATTCGGCGGCTGCATCGACGGGGGTACAGGTCCAGGACGCGGGAGCACACAAATCCCTTCCTCCCGCTGGGAGCGCACCTGGGTGTTTTACCTGGTCGGAGACACTGTTCTGCCCTGGAAGGGTCTGGAGGGAGAGCGGCTGGCGAGGCCTCAGCGGCCCAACCCCTCGGGAGCAGCCGGGGGATCGGCGGCCTCCAGCCGGCGGGGAGGTGCCGTCCAGGAAGTGACGGCCTCTGCAGCCACTGATGACCGGACAGCTCTGGTGGCTGCTGAGGACGGGCCAGGACCGGGAGGGGCCCAGAGAACTGCCCAGCGCCAGGCTGCCTCTGGTCGGAGGGGTGGGTTTGACATGGAATCGGGGTGGCCAATAATCTCCAAACAGATGCTGATGGTGTTGTTGGGAAGTCCTGTGACATTTGACCCCGAATATTCTGTATGTGATCTGCTTGTTTTTCCCAGCTCTGGAGGCTTTTGGGAGTGCACACACACTCAGGGCAGGATGGTGGCGCGTGGCAGCTCTCAGGGAGTTAATAAAGGCAGGAGGGGGCTTTGCTGGCCCCTCAAATCACACCGCTTAGCACGATTGCTCTCCTTATAAGAGAGACCTGCCTGCCCAGGCGTTTGGCCTGCCGGGCGGAAGCCTGCTGGTAAGTCCCAGCATTAAGGGAAGTTAATGCCAGAACTTGAACTACAAAGTCCTGCTGCCAGGCCCCAACCTGGCTGGCCAGCCTAGGGCTGAGCTTTGGGCCGGGCGGAGAGGGTAGTGGGCCTTGGGCTCCGGAGGCAGGTCTCCGGATCTCCCGGGGGCGAGGCCACGAGGCAGCACCGCGTCGGAGCTTCTCAGCCTCTGATCCCAGGGCCACCAGAGGCCACTTCCCGCGGGCTGCAACAAACCTGGTTCCGATCAGACCCAGAGGGTTTGGGGAGGCCCCTCTGTCGTCGTCCCCGCAGGGGCCAGATCCCCTCTGTGATGGGTGTGGCGGGGGGCTCAGGCCCCTCCTCAGTGCGGAGCGTCCTGCTCAGCCCACGCTGGCTGCAGCCAGACGGTCTCCGTGACCCACGTGGATAGGTCCCGGGCACCATCTGCTGCCGGACAGGGTGCCACGCCCACTCCTCGAAGAGCCACCTCACTACCCCATAGGGCAGCCACAGTGTCCCCGAATTATAGGTGGCAGAAGCCTCGAGAGTGCCTCGTTCAGCGCGGCCATCCGTGGGGTTGTTCAGGCCTGTGCTTCCCCAGGTGGTGTAGCCAGCGCCAGATGCAAGAAAACATTTTTTGTAGGTTTTTTTTATTATTATTTTTGTAGTTCTCTTATGTTTCAAGTTCCCCGGCCAGGAGGATGTGCTGACCAGAACCGTGTGCCTGTCTGTGGCATCGACGCTTCCCCTTTTGAGTTTCTGTCCCAGGAACGGCAGAGCCTCCTGTGGAGCCTCACACCACCTGTTTGTCGGGAGAGGACCAGGTAAGCGATACCCGCCGCAGACCAGGCCCAGGGCCCGCTGAGCCTGCGCACAGCCGACAGAGAGGCCAAGGTCACCCCCAGCTCATCGTGACACTAAAATCCCTGCCCTAGGAGGGATGTACCCCCCACCGTTCAATCACGGGACACGTGTACCGCGTGATTCCCCACTGCGCTTGCGCCCCGCACTCCACCCGAACACGCAACATGCTCACACCCCTCGCGCATCGTTCATTTCGCCTCCAGGAAACCCCCGGCGCTGTTGATGGAGGAGGTGGATTTGAGACAGTTTGTACTAAATGCCTGCCTCCTCCCGGTCGGAGCACCTCCTGCAATAATCCTTCCTTCCTGACAATCCTCGTGGTCCTGGTAACCGGCTTTCTACACGGCCAGCCACATGGAACCCTCCGTGGGTTCCTTAACAATCCGAGCCTCGTCCGGGATCTGTGGCTCGTGGCTTGGAGGCTGTGGATCCAGGAGACTTTAGGGCCTCCCTAGCAGCTGCCAGCTGAGTTCCTGCCCAATGGTGGTTTTGGTTTCTCCACCGGCTTCGCCGTCGCCAGCCCCAGACGCATCCTGACTGTCAGGGAGGAACTGACCATCTGGGGGTCTTCTGGAGTTCCCGTTTGGGCTGTGAGCCTCAGCCATTTGGGAGAGCAGGACCTAAAACTCCTCTCTCCATTTGGGGAGTTTCAGAGAAAATCCGTTTGGGTTAAAAGCCTCAGACATTCGGGAGAGCAGGACCTCAGGCCACTTGCGTGTGGCACTCCACAGGCTTATTTGTTGGAACTGCTGTCCCTCTGGGGTGTGTGTGTGTGTGAGAGATGCTGGGAGATCAGAATTCCATCCCTGAATGCGAAAGTGGCCCTTTAGACTACGTTCTTCAGAACGGGTGTGCACGCCAGGAGTCCTCTGTCTCTGCCATTTGGGCTTTTATGACATTTGGACCTAGGACAGGTCGTTTGTGACAATGGTTGGTTTGAGATAAGATTCTCAGAAACTTCTCTCCGGTCTCCCTCTGTAGAGATTTGTCTGGAAATGTTAATGCTCTGTTTTGAGTTTTGCTTTATCTGATGTGCTGTTCCCCAGCTTGTATTTAAAACCTCTTAAATTTCTCTTTGTATTGAGTGTTTATCTATGTTAGTATGTGGCATATAAATGTACCATCTATGAGAAAGTTTAAAGAGATGCCAGGTTTTCTAGGGCGCCAGCTGGTCTCCACATATCATGGTCTGTTCTGGTACACATGTTTAAACCTATGGGCAAATCATATCAAGAGAATTTCAGAGCTCGTGTGGTCAGTCTGCCCATACAGAATTGGAATACAGAGCTTGTTAAGCTCTGTCTCTCTGCTTGTGAACTGTGGTTGCTGGGTTGTTGATATTGAGATAAAAGTCAGTGTCTGTGTTATCATGTATTTAAGGTCAATTGGAACAGCCAGTTCTAGCAACAATGTGAACATTGAAACTCATTTACAACTGAAGGAAAAAGGATTACATAGGCCTTTTTTTTTAAAAGAAAAATTCAAACTTCCATGAAAGCTGCTTTACCCAAAACTTTGGTCTCTAGTTCTCATTATATTACCTATCGGGACAACAAATTCTGGCCACGTGCACCAGTTCCACTCTGTCAAAAACAATTTGATCCAACCATCTTTTACAAACTGGTCAGAATATAACTATGAGCCCATAAAAAAGAAAAAGAAAGGTATATTTTCGTAATACTGCCTGGCCCCAGCACTCTCTCAAGTCTGGAGAGACGTGGCTCCTAATGGGTGACTGAGCTATGATTCTATTCTCCAGTTGGATTTATGTTCTCATCATGTTGGACAATGGGATGAAATCCCTTATGTACAATCTTTTATGCTTCTGTATCAAAAAAAGCAGATCAAATTGAACAGAAGATTCTAGTGCAGAGGACAGAAGAGAAGCCAGATCTAAGAGGCCCGTGTTGCCCACAGAAGGGAAGGCCCATGTTGGAGAGAAGCTTCTGGCAGTGGTGGCTCTGGCTGCAGCTATGACTTCTCTTGGAGACCCCTCTCCTGACTCTCCTGCCCCCCTTGTAAGTCTGGACCCCTTTCCTCACCCCCACTGGCCCCTCCAGCCATCTACACTCACGTTCTCCCCTCTCTGGGAACAGTCACGGGAGCATGAGGATGTGGTCTCCTTCACACCATTGGTGGGGTCCTCCCTCCTTCCCAGCGGGGCAGTTTCCCTACAGAGACAGGTCCCTGTAGGAGGAATAAACAAGAATGGACAACTGGCTGGATTAATGTGGGCTTATAGCCCGTCTACCACTCCTGACTTGTACGGCTGGAAACAGCAAAGCCCTGCCTGCAGGGATGACCCAAAGCATGTAACTGATCCATTTGAATCTATTTTCACTGTGCATCGCCCCACCTGGGCAGCTGTCCAGAGCCTGCTTAACACCTGCTAACCCCCGAGGAGCGTCACATTGTCCTGGAAAAGGCCAGAGAACAGGCTGGCAGAGGGCACGCGGAAGACCCAAACAACTTGGTGGCAGCTGGAGCTGATCTGGCCTGACACATGACCCCAACTGGAACCCAGGTAATGGAGGTAAAGCTAAGATCCAACATTTCAAGACTGTGTCTCAGCTGAACTTCGCAAAGGGGTCCCCAGAACTAAAAGCCTGAACAAGGTGCAGGAGGTAAGACCGGAAACAGATGAAAATCCAGTGATGGAGACATGTCAGAAATCACTGACATGGATCCAAACTATCCTGATAATTCAAGGTTAATGCCCATGAGCTCTGCCGGCCAGAGCATGCCTGACAGCCGGAAAGCTACAGAAGTTAGAGGGCTCTTACTTTGCCCACGTCTCATTTGGCTGAAATGACTTATAAGATCTTTATCAACTGTGAACAGACTAAATAAAGACCAGCAAAACGAAATAAAAAAGGTATATGAAATTAAAGAACAGGCAGAACTTTTGACAACAGTTCTGACAAGAAACTCTAGGGGGGTCCTCTCCTCAGGGACCACCGCCCGTTGGAGGAAGCCTTGCCCTACATTACAGGAAAAGAGTGACGGGAACCTCCGGGACCACTGATGAGGCCAAATCAGAGGACGTGGGATTCCAGGGCTCCACGGAATCCGTGGGAATTGCAGCCGCGATTAATCTCTCCCCCCAGGAGCCCAGGGTAACCATACAAGTGGGAAAACTGACTGATTTCCCGGCTGGTACGGTGCAAACTCCTCGGTTTTAAACCTTAAACAGGCGAAGCTGGCGCGGACCTTGCACATCCAGTGTGGTGCCACAGGCAGGTGGGGGCTGGGCTCCTGTTCCCGTGTGGACCCCACTGAGAAGGGCCCGGGCTGCAGGGTGACAGGCCGCCCATTTGACGAGGGGCCAGGGCCAGCATCGCGTCCCCGCAGGGGTCGGGGCTGGCGAGGTTCCCAGCGCAGCTCTTGTCCTCCCGTGGGCGTCAGAACTCGGTGCCTCCTCGCTGGGGCTGAGGTCGGCTGAGCTCCTCCGCAGGAAGTCCACGCTGACCGGAGGGCGTTTTCCTTCCCGCTGTGGGGGGGCTCACTGGGCTGGCAGGCGGGAGGGGGCTGCTGTGGGGGTGGCCCTTGCTTCCCCCAGGGGCAGGTGGGGGCAGGACAGGGAGGAAATGTGGGCAGGGCTAAGGGCCCCCAGGGGGGCACAGGGTGGGGGTCGAGAGGGGCAGAGGCAGCACCTGTACCCTCCCCGCATGGTCCCCGGGAGGGATCCTTGGCCCTGCAGGGACCCCACTCCTCTGCTCACAGCCCACCACCTGCCAGTGGGCGTCCTGGGCGAGGTGGGCGCCGACCCGCTCTCCCCTCCGTCCTGCCCGACCCTAGACCGTGCGGAGGGATCAGCGCCCAGGAGGCCTCGCCCTGCGCCTTGGCCACAGCAGGGGCCCCTCCCTTACCCCTCTCGTCCTGGTCCTGGAAGAGTCCCCATCACACACCCCACCCCTCCTGGGCCGGTGTCCCTCTCCCCTGCAGGACAGGCAGGAGGGAGGGGGCTTACCTTGCAGGGCCCCTCCCCAACCCGCCTGGCCGCTCCCCTGCCGAGCCCCCCCCCAGAGGCCTCTGCACCTTGCTCAGCCTTCCCTCTGCCTGGAAGGATCCCCCCTACGCACCCAGGTTTGCCTGTGAATCCCAGGTGGCCCTCAGGGCACAGCCCCCATGAGGGCCTGCCCCCGGCAGCCTCAGGGGACTGTCCAGTCCTCCCAGAGCATCTGCCCCTCCTCTGTCGCCGTGTGGGGTCACTGCGGTGCACTGAGGACCCTGCAGTCTGGCCTGTGCCTGGCACCGAGTCCGCAGTGTCCCCACCTCCACCCACCCCGCCTGGCTTTAGAGCCTCTCCCAGCAAGGCGTCCTCAGGCAGGACCCGTCCAGCCTGGGCGCAGGGGCACGGGGGCAGAGGCCTTCTCCGAGAGTCGTCTCTGGCCGGTGGGAGGACTCCTCTCCTCCACGCCCTCACAGTCTGGGGTCGCTGGGAGTCGAGCACCGGAGCTGCCTGTCTTAGAAATGCGCTTTATGGGGTGAGGCTGCCGGCAGCACAGGGAGGCCCGTGGCAAGGTGGACCCTTTGCTGGGGCTCAGCCTCCTGAGGGTCCAGGGCTCCAGCCGGAGCACCCACGGCGTCCTCCTGTGAGGACCCGGTGTGTAGAGCAGGTCCCAGGAGAGTAGCTGCCTTCCTGGAGGGTGCTAGGGGCAGGTGACCCGGAGGGCAGGTGGAGCCCGGGCCCTCACCCAGGTGGAAACGGCCCAGCTGCAGGGAGCTGGGGGCCCTCGCTTAGGTGGGGACAGAGCTGAGGTGTAGGGAGCCAGGAGTTGGGGGACCCCAGTATAGGCAGGGCCACAGAGCAGGTGCAGGGCACTGGGGGAACCTGGCCCAGGTGCAGGCAGCAGGTGAGTCGTCCTGGCTCCGGGAGCACAGGTGTGAGTCATGGCGCTCTGGGGCTGGCTGGTCTCCAGCACCCGGGGCTGGCCCAGTGTGCAGGTGCGTCCCGGCCCCGGGCGGTCTGTGTGAGCGCTCCTAACTCTGCACCTGGTCCTGCGGTGGGGGAGGCTGGAGGTGAGAGGCACAGGTGTGGCGTTCCCAGAGCCCCAGGGGACCGTCCCGCCCGTCTCCTCTCTCTGGCAGAGAGGCCGGCCAGCCTCCTCCAGGGCCCCCAGGCGCCCAACTCAGGCGCTCCTCTGCCGGGCTGGGCGCATGGCTGGTCTGAACGTGTCCCTGTCCTTCCTCTTCTCCACCGTGGCCCTCTGCGAGGCGGCCAGGAGGGCGTCCAAGGCCTTGCTCCCCGCAGGCGCCTACGGCAGCTTTGCCCGGGAGGCGGTGGGCGCGGCCCAGCTGGGGGCCTGCTGCCTGGAGCTGAGGGTGCTGGCGGAGCTCGGGCCCTGGGTCGGGGGCTTCGGGCCCGACCTGCTGCTGACCCTGCTCTTCCTGCTCTTCCTGGTGCACGGGGCCACCCTGGACGGGGCCTCGGCCAACCCCGCCGTGTCCCTGCAGGAGTTCCTCATGGCCGAGGCGTCCCTGCCCAGCACGCTGCTGAAGCTGGTGGCCCAGGGGCTGGGGTTGCAGGTCGCCCGCACCCTGACCCACTTCTGCTGGGCCTGGGGGCTGAGCGACCTGCACCTGCTGCAGAGCCTCATGGCCCCGGACTGCCGCTCGGCCCTGCGCACGTCCGTGCCGCACGGAGCGCTCGTGGAAGGCGCCTGCGCCTTCTGCTTCCACCTGCTACTCCTCCGCCTGCGGCACAGCCCTCCCGTCTACAGGGTGCCTGCCGTGGCCCTGCTGGTCGCCGTCACAGCCTACACAGGTGAGAACTGCTCCCTCTGCCCTGGCAGCCCCTCAGGGCTGCCGCGCCACGCGGCTGACCTGCACGCTCGCGCCTGTGGTCACCCGGGACAGCGCTGCTGGCCGAGGGAGCCCACGAGCCCACAGAGAGGGTGGCCGCCCCCGAGAAACCGGCCAAGGGAACGGGAACCGCCGGCCGAAACCGGAACCGGGGGGAAGGGCCAACGCCCCCAAGAAGGCAACCCGGGGCCGGGGCCCCGGCCCCGCCCAACCGCCCCCGGTCAACCCAAGAAAACCGCAACCGGGCAGGGGGGGTGTCCACCTCTGCTCTGGGGGCCCCAGTGTCCCTGTCACCCCTTCTAAGAGTGACAAGCGCCATGGGCTCTTCCTCTCTCGTGTCCCTGCCCTGCCCACCTGGCTTTCTGCAGGCAGGCTGACCTTGTGACCAAGCTCTCGGGGGTCCACCGCCCCAGCCTCCTCATGCGTGCCCCCTGCGCCGCCCCAGACGGCGTCACCAGCACTGGGCCCCCCACGAGGGCAGCCTTTGACTGGCAGGCTCCCGGGGACAGGTGTCCCGTAAGAAGGGGCTGCAGGGGCCTCCAAGAAGGGGCTCATTTGTGCCCCTGGCACCGGGGTGCAGGGCAGGGGTGAGGGCCGAGTGCTCTCAGGCTCTTTGTCACAGGCTGAGGGCCCAGTTAGGACAGAACCAGCACTCAGGACTCCACCACGCTGGCCTCGGCCCAGCACAGGGCAGAGGGCACATGACCGGGCCACAGAGGCCACAGGAAGTGCCACCAGAGCATGTGCAGATGGGGAGAGGCAGGGGTGAGCGGGCAGCTCAGAGGGACAGGGCCTGTGACCAGACTGCCAGGTGACACCCAGAGAGCTCCTGCCGAGACGCCTCCCAGGGGCCAGAGCACCCAGCGACATTGGCTAGACCTGCCCGGGCCCTGGTCTGCCCCCGGCTGGCTCCGGGCTGTGCGCACAAAGGCCACCTGCCTGGGGCTCTCTCTCCCTGTGTGTGTCTTTCTGTCCCTCTTGGTCCCGACTTGACCCTCTCAGAGACCGCCTCCCGCAAGGCAGGGCTGCTGGAGACACGAACAGGCTGGGGACATGTTCCTGCCAGGGCTGGCGTGGCGAGGGTTGCTCCCTGACCCCGCGACCTTGGCCTTGGCTGAACGGCCGCGCTGTCCGCCAGTGCAGCTTGGAGAGGCTGCAACCCCAGCCCCGGGCACTGAGAGCCGCGCCCAGGCCTGCGCGCAGCGGGGCTCTCAGTGTGGGTTCCAGGGGGAGACGGCAGGCAGGGCCGGGACGAGGGCTGCGTGTGCTCTGCCCACAGCTGGGCCGGTCACGTCTGCCTTCTTCAACCCTGCCCTGGCCGCCGCTGTCACCTTCCGCTGCTCGGGGCACACGGTGCTGGAACATGCGCAGGTGTACTGGCTGGGCCCTCTGACAGGTAAGGGCAGGTGGGCCCTCGGCTGCTGGTGCCCCAGGCTCTCCCTGGGGAGGGGTCCTGGGGGGAGCGGGTGGGGGGCAGGTCAGTCTCCTGGGGGGCTCCTCCGCAGGGTGGGCAGAAGCAGGCATAGGTGGGTGGGTGGCAGAAAAGCCACCCCTGGGAGGGGTGCTGGGTGGCAGGCGGGGTCGGCGTCTGCAGCGAGGGCTCCTGTCCAGGGCGCACCGGTCCTGGCGAGGGGTGAGCACTTAGACAACACGGCATCACCCCACCCTCCCTGGGCTGAGCTCGCGGGGGTGGCCTAGCCCTTGGGGGTCCTGGTCATGCAGCCCTGTGACTCCCTAAATGACAGAGGGACCCCCTCAGCTCACCCTCCCGTGGCTGCCCCTCCCACCCTGCACTGTGGAGCCGCCCAGAGGAGCTGGAGGGAAGGCCCCGGGCCAGGGTCGCAGGGGCGGTCACGGAGCCACGCCTGGGCCTGGGGTCTGAGGCCCCAGTGCAGGGCAGGCCTCTTCCCGCACCTGGTCTCCAGCCCCTGGCCCTGCCTCGGTCTCCACGCCTCACCGGGTGGGTGACTGGGGCCTAGTGGGAGTCCGGAAGCTCCTCCCCCTTCCGCTAGGTCTACACTGGGGAGCTCCCGGGGAGAGCCGCAGCCTGCCCCAGGGAGGAGAGACGGAAGCCAGAGGTCTCCCACGTAAACCTGGCCCTGGAATCGTGCCTGGCACGTCATCCCTACCTGTCACTCTGGCTCTTGTTTTGTCACGAGCCCGCAGTCCCAGGACACACACTGAGAAAGCGGGAGTCCCCCCTCGGTGCCCGCGGCCCTCCCAGAGGCAGCCGAGATTTCCGTACTTACTTCCCGTCTCCACCCGCTGGGCCCGCAGGGCTGCTCCACGATTCTTCCGCCAGGCGCCAGGCATCGGCCCTGCCGGCCCTCAGGGAAGGTGGGAGCTGACACCCTCCCCACAGCATCCATGGGCCCTGCCCGACCTGCCCCTCGGGGTGGGCTCACCTCTGCCGCCTGGGCAGCTCCAAGGGGGCCTCAGTGCCCGGCCCGGTGGAGCCCTGGGCACGGCCGGGCTGGCCTGTCCCGCACAGCCTGCCATCCCCGCGGCCGACGCTGGGCCTGGTTCCTCCCTTGCTCAGGGTTCCAGGGGGTCTCATTAATTCAACACCCAGGTCTTCCGTGGTCTCAAGGTGTAGCTGCAACTCCAGGTTCCCCGGGGGCGTCGTCTCGCACCCGGGAGTCACGCGTCACCTCCCTCCTGGCCGCAGTTCTGTGTCTGTTCTCTGCGTCTTCTGCCACTTTGGTTTATTTCTTCTTTTCGGTGGAGCACGTCTGGCCTCATGAGAAAGGGTACCTGGCACTTAAACCTCAGACCTCCGTTGTCTGAGACAAAATGTCTTGGTTCTGACCTGCACTTGCTTGTGGCTTGGCCACGGGTCGAACGCTGGGCTGGGATCAGTTTCCCACTGAGTTTTGAAGGCCCCACTCCATGGCCGCTGGAGTAGTTTCCGGGCTACCATGACACATACCGCAAACTGAGAGGCTTAAAACAGCAGAAATTTATTCTCGCGCAGCTCTGGAGGCTGAAGTCTGCGACCGGGGGCCGGGCAGGGCCGGGCTTTCTCCGAGGGCTCCAGGGAGGAGTCTCCCTGCTTCTTCTTGTCTCTGGCCTCATGGACGCAGCGCCCCAACCTCTGCCCGTCACCCACGGCCACCGCCTCTTATGTCTGTGTCTGTCTGTTCTCCTCTCCTGCTGGGGACACTAGTCACAGGATTTAGGGTGCTCTGCTCCTGTGTGACCTCCTCTTAATTTAATCACATCTACAAAGAGCCTGTTTCCAATAAGGTCCCATTCTGAGGTTCTGGGAAGGACGTGATTTGGTGGAAATACCCCAGTGCAACCTCTAACTCTGACCTGCCGTGGGGAGGTCCAAGGTGCATTTAGAAACTTCTGGAAGCCGAGTGGGAAGAGGCTGGGTGCTCAGCATCCCGTGTGCACACGCCCACCCATCCCTGTTCAGGACAGCCCCACTCTCGGGGTGCACCTGCTGCCCCGAGTCCAGACACCTCTCCGGAGAATGGCCCTTCTCCCCCAGTGGTTGGGTAGGGACGTCACCAGGTATTTCTGTGGGGTGGGCCTTTGGTGCTTTGAGCGCGTCTCACACAGCTCTGCAGTCCGTCCCCCGAGGGTGGCCACTTCAGAGGGGCCTGGGCTGCCACCCGCCGAGTCCTGGAGTCTGTGAAGGAGCGGGCTGGTATCCAGCTCTCCCCGTTGCCGAGTGCGGAGCGGCCCCCGAGTCCTATAGCGCATTGGCCATTCTCCCGCTTGTCAGCTTCCCGTCCGTCCCTGTGGTGGCTGACACCTCTACGGGACCCCTTCCTGTCCTTGCGCTCAGTTTCGGGAAGCCGCAAGGGAGAGGAGTGTTCGTGCCACTCGCCACCCGCACCCCGAGCCACAGCCGGGCTTTCGCTGGAGCAGGTGCGGGAGGGGAGCCGGCCCCCTGCGTGCGAGCGGCCGGTGCGCCTGCCGGCTGGGTGCCCCCAGCAGGTCTCGTCACCTCTCTGGCTGCTCTCCTTGGAGGGGGACAGTGTGGGCCTCGGAGGGTGTAGCGAGGGGCGGCAGTGACGGTCGCCGGCTGTGTGTGGGCTCGGGGGCTGCTGCCAGGAGCTGGAGCGGTGGCACATGGTACCGTGGCAGGTCCTGTCCAGGTGGCTGCAAGTGGGGCCGCCACGCCGCAGGTAAAATCCTCAAGGCCTCGACATCCAACGTGAGGACGACCTGCTGCGTCTCCTGCCTCGGCGACCTGACCCTGCCAGGGCCCTAGGCAGTCAGGATCCCAACTGCTGGGTTTTGGGCAGAAGGCAGGACGCGGCGACATGGAGTCACTTGGGCCAGGTCATGACCTGGGCCCCCCACATCCTCTCTCTCCTCCTCTGAACCACCCCACGCCCCTGCGAACAGCCAGCCCGGACGGGACCTCCGTTCGGAAAGAGACCTCCCGGGCCCCGAGATGACTCGGGACACTCGTGTGGGGAGTCCTGAGCCCGTGACCCAGCCCACGTCCCCGTGGGCTTGTCCCCATCTCCTGGGGGAGGACACCCGGGGCGGCAACTGGCCAGGAAGGCCCAGACCAGGCCCAGGCCATCCCCTCACGGGGGTGTGCAGGGTCCCTGTCCCGGGGGCTGGCCAGGAGCGTCCCTTTGTCTGTGGTGCGGGGCCTGCGGTCTGACCGCCGTCTCTCGCAGGGATGGTTCTGGCCGTGCTGCTGTCCGAGGGCCGCCTGCCCCGCCTTTTCCGGAGGAACCTGCTCTACAGTCAGAAGAACAAGCACCGAAACCCCAGAGGGAAGCTGGCCCCAGGCCCTGGGGACACCCAGGCACCCGCAAAGGGGTGCCGCAGCCCGGAGCCTGGGAACAGAGCGGTGGGGCCGCAGCCCCGGTGTCCCAGCCAGCGCCCTGCCGGGTGTGGGCCCCCCAGAGGCCCGCGCCCCTGGCTGCATGCCGAGACCTCCCAGAGCTAGAGGCGGAGCCCCGGCCTCCCTCCCCAGAAACAATTTGTCAATAAACCATTCCTTAAACCTGCCTGTCCCTGGCCTGACAGAGGCTTCTAGAAGAGCAGGTAGGGGTGAGGGGAAACAGCCCGACTGGTCTGAGCCACCTCCAGCTCCCACAAGTTCGTTCCTGCCCCTTATTTGCAGAATCAGAGTAAAAAGTAAGACCCAGAGGACAGACGAGAAGCCCAGGGAGAGGGGACCTGGCCCTGAGGCGTTGGCACAGGTGGCACCAGGCTGCCCAGGACGCGCCACAGCCCAGGGGGGGTCTGACGACAGCCGAGACCCGCTGGGGACTCTGTGGGTGGCGGTGGAGCCCGAGGCTGCAGGCGTGTGTCGGGCACAGGGCCCCCAACCCCATGTCCACAAAGTTCCCCGACCTCCGGACAGTGGCCCGCAAACCCAGGTCGGTGGCAGGACCGGGGCTGCAGGACGGGGGCTCCAGGCCAGGCTGGGAGGAGCCTCCAGCCATTTTCTCCCCACAGACCACAGCTGATCCGGAACCTTCCACCCCAACAAGAGAAAGGGCCCTCGGCTGTGGTTCCCAGAGCCCCGTCCACAGAGGGTGAGGATGGGTGGGGCGCCCGCCCGAGCCCCCACCCTGTGCCTGGTGGGCAGCAGCCCCGGGCCCAGCTGCTCTGCGGAGCGGGGAGAACTGGAGGAGAAAGCAGGTCAAGGTCCTGCCAGGCTTTTCCCGGGGGTGCAGGTCGGGGGTGTCTTCCCGCACCCGCTTCAGGTGAGAGGAGAGAGAATCTCCCTCCCTGCTCCCCTCCCCCAGCCAGGCGGGGAGGCTGCTGTCTGGACCCCGGGTGGGAGCACTGGGGAGAGGCGGCAGGGAGCCCAAGTCCCTGAAGGAGCCGCCCCGTGTGGCTTCCGGGCGGGGCTGTGCGGGGCGGGGCCGGGCTGGGTGGTCCTGGTGGGCAGCAGAGGGTGTGGCCACAGGAGGAAGCCGGGCCTCCCCAGTGCAGCTCCGCGGAGGTGGGAGGCGGTGGCCCCTGTCCCTGCGGCCGTCCCTGCGGCCCCTGCGCCGGTTTTCCCAGGACAGGAAACGCTGGAGCTCAGGCAGTCAGTTCTGTCGGTGACCGAGTACACGGGACGTGCACACGTGGACGTGGCGATGCAGCATGGGAAGAAGTCGTTGGAATGACTCGAGTTTGGAATCTGCTTTGAAAAACGTCAACAGTGCAAAGCAAAATCCACAAGCTTTGCAGCACAAAGTTCAGGCTCACCCCATCTGAGGTGCGAAAGTTCGGAAGAACCCAACATTGCTGTGGAAGAGAGCGTCAGAGTCAGCTTTTCCTTCCCACTAAACACACAAGAGAGGACTCACACACGTGTTAGGTTTTATGCAAATCATGAGCCACTCCGGTCTCTAGATGATCTCCGATCTCCACACCTCACAGGAAATGGAGGGAACATTAACTTTGCATTTAAAACTGTGGTCAAACCCACACAAAACGAGTTTGTATGAGGAGCGAAATCATTTTAGGAAAATGCTTTGCAAGAATCATGAGCTCTAGATGTGCTGAAATTTACATTCCCCGGCGATTTATCGGAAATGGGTCCCTCGCTCTCAGGGCCTGTGGAGCGCTCTCGACAGCTCTCGGTGACGGTTGCAGCTGCAGGAAGGCCCTTCCCAACACGCAAAATCGTCAAAAATGATGTGCGATCTTGTATTTGCCAAGATTGACTCATGTTGCTTCCGAATAGATTGAGAGAAACGGAAGTTGCTAAAATTGTAAACTTCACTGACATAATTACTGCCTTTGCAGAAAGGGCTCGAGGAAAAGTGCCTGATGCCTGAGAATCTCTCCTTAAATAATATCCTCTATTGTTCACGCCACAATCGTGCCAAACACGTGTGCGCCCGTGTGACGCCACTGCGACTGGTCAGGAGAGTGAGAGGAGAGTCCTGCTCTGAGCCCCTTTCTGTGACTGTCCTCTGTCCCGGTGCAGCGAACAGCGTGGTAATACTGTGCGTAAGCTGTCCCCAAGTGTCCCCACCGAGGGAAAACTACCAAGTGCTGAATTTGCCACCAGCTTCCAGATCCATTCACGATAAATAGGTTCCACTGGGACGGCTGTCGCCAACTTCTCAGATGTCCCTAATGTCACCACTTGCCTAGACCGACCTCTTTCCTTGTTGACTTTCTGAGTGCAATTGCTTCAAGACCCAAATGTTACCGCCCCGTTTCAATTTTTACTGTGTTGCCAATGTTGGAAACTCGTTCTATACCACGGGGCCTCCCTGATCTGCGAACTGCTGGGTAGACAAATACAGTTTAGATCAGATAAAGTTAAACACTGTGTCAACAATACTCTCAGCTACTGAAATATCACGTGCCTGGATTCTGAAAAGCTGCAAAGGAAATGACGTGTGGCTCGATTCTGCTCTGTCAGCACTTCCGTGAATGACTCTTAATGAACAACACACTCTGGGAACGTCACCTGGGTACCCGACCTCCCCGCCCCGGCTGTGTGTTTGTATGTGGCACGGGGTCTGATCCCGGCACAGGGCGTACCGCTGCCTGGACAGCTCACACATAGGGCCCGTGCTTGCTGGGATATTTCGGAGCCCCTTGTCCTTACAAAGCACGCTGAAGACTCCCTTTCTCTCTTCATTGTGAAACTGAAAGGTCTATCCTAGCAGGATATAAAGATATTATAGGTCAAAGCATCCTAGGAATATTATTCCCAGGTGCTGATTTTTTTTTCAATGGGGATACGATTCAAAACCTTCCCACCGCTATTATTAGGTTGGTGCAAAAGTAAGTAATTGCGGTTTTAGCATTGTTGACATTTGCCATTTGACCCCGGAATACAATCTTAAGTAAATGTGGTTACGCTATACCTCATTTTAATGCGCACTTCTTGCTTTACGTTTTTTGCTAATGGCTTATTACTTGCGGTTTAGTTTATATTGATTCTAGACATGACAACTGGCCAGTTTACATGGCATTCCTTCCGGATAAATGACCGCTCACCACGGACTGGCTCTGGCCAGCTTACGGAAGTTGTGCGCAGAGCACCTTTGTGTCCTTTGCTTTGAGTTGTGGAGCCTAACTTTACTGCATTTTAGTGTTAAGTCTCTACCCAAAAGTGAACATGGGCATCTGTACCATATATGTTTGCTTATTACGCATGTGCACGACCCCCTTCATGAATATTCATAGCGTCTCCTGTAACCTGTTGAATATGTATATCCAGCCAACATTTAGCACGGAGCTCCTGTCCCGCCTCCCTCTAGCAAAGCGCCTGCTCTCGGCCTCAGCCAGAGGCTCCACGGCACAGCCTGCAGTTTCCACCCTTTAAAAGGAATAAGCTTCTCCTTTCCAACAAATCTAATAACAAGTGTACTTCAGCTTTCCTGAGAAGCATAACTTTTCCTCTCCATGTTGATCATATAGGACATTTCAGATTTTAGAATATCTTGAGTCTAGGAAGCCAAACCAAGGCAGGTTTAGATTTTATTTACAGTCTTGAGCTTCGTGGCCTGCCCGGCAGTGACAATTTTTACTTATTCACTGTAAGGCTGGGAATTCCTATGCACACTCTTAAATATGACATTTCAGTCACATTATATAACTAACGTTTCCAGTTGTATCCTGTTTATAAAGAGAGAGTAGATTTTTGTTGAACTTATATAAATAAAAATAAGAATGCTCACAAATAGCTTCTAAGTTTTGGAGGAATCAAGTCGGGAGAGAAATCAAATGCATCCACCTTTGTTCACAAAAGGATACTTTACCAAATTATTGCAACTGTGGATAGCTTATGAAATAAAATTTCCTCAAATGTGGACAACAAAACATTTAAGTAAAGAACCAACAATGTTTTAAATAAGAGTCATTAAAAACTTTATCCTTATCAATTGCTTAATTTCATGGAATTAATTTTGTTTTGCTCAATCTTGATTAGCAATTGTGGACCATAGCTGACTGCAAACTGTTTTAAATTAAAGAATTTAAGACAATAATTGTGGAGACAAAAACCTAGAACAGCCATGTTCAAAAATCTGATGAGGGCCGGGCACAGTGGCTCACACCTGTAATCCCAGCACTCTTGAGAGGCTGAGGCGGGAGGATCATTTGAGCTCAGGAGTTCAAGACCAGCCTGAGCAAGAGCGAGATCCCGTCTCTACTAAAAACAGAAAACTTAGCTGCAGCGCATGCCTGTAGTCCCAGCTGCTCGGGAGGCTGAGGCAGGAGGATCACTTGAGCCCAGGAATTTGAGGTTGCAGTGAGCTGTGATGACACCACGGCACTCTAGCCTGGGTGACAAAGCAAGGCTCTGTCCCCCCCAAAAAAAATCTGATGAAAATTTACCATTGACAAGGAAATGTATATATTTCTGTGGCATACGACCATTTAACATGATAATCATTATCATGACTGATAACACGTATCATGATATATCATAATTTTAAGTACCACATTTAATTTTGGAACAAATTTTCATAACACATTTATACAAATATAACTTAAAGAAAGTTAAACACCATTTCCTATTTGACGGTACATCCCATATGATTTATGAACTAAGCCTAATCGTCTAATATCTCTGCAAGATCAAAAAGGCTGAATTTAGGATTTCGGTCCTGGGGAAACCTGGCAGACGTGAGAAGATTCAAAGCACTTGATCAAACAGGAGCACAGGTCACTGCCGAACAGCAGCTGCTGACGCAGCCAGCGACAGTCGACAGCAGGACAGAAGTTCACACGATGTGGAAAACTTGAGCCCTTTGAAGCTCAGCTTTCCTGTGTGATGAAAACCTCACGAAGACAACACGTCGCACAGGGAATTACCTTGGTGAAACGCAGAATCTTTGTTTCCTAGGCCAGTTAATTACAAAAAAAGGAAAATAAACCCCTGTAGTGCATTGGGCTGTCGGGCATCAGCTGTGAGCAGGAGTCTGGACACCAAGGCCGGGCCCGGGGAGGCTCCCTGCTTGGCAGGTTGCTGGGACTGAGATCCTGGCCCCGAGATGGCTCCGGAACCCTCCCCCTGGCCCTGGTCTACCCCATCCGGCCTGTGCTGTGCACTCCTGGTGATCTGGAGGCGGGGTCCCCAGCTGGGAACAGCCTAAGCCACATGTGGCTGTCCCGAGGGTCATGTGTCCACTGGATCGTGTCACGTCTCTGGGGAGTGGAGCCCTGGCCTTGGGGGCACCTGGACAGGACCCAGCCGGACTCCCCATCCCACTGGGTGACACCCCCGGCTGGCTAAACCCAGGTAAACTCTGGGCCAGAGGCCAGGGTGGGCTGCGTCCACGGCTCAGGGTATAGAGCAGGTTAGCCCTGCTGCCTTCCCCGCCCCCACCACCTCCTACCTGGACCTGGCGGGCACCCAGCCCAGGACTCGGGCACCCACACCCCACCCGGACCTGAGCTCTGGTCTGCGGGACCCACCCCCGACCCACAGCAGGCGCGGAGGCTGCTGCAGTCCTACCTGTGGCCAGAGGGCGGCGCCGCACGTGTGCCTGAAGCCCACATCCCGGGGAGCAGGGTGCACCTTGCAGGCCACACCCTCTCTGGGTGTCCTGGAGGTGGCCGGGGCTCCTAAGCACTGGAGGCCCTGCCCAGAGCCCCTGAACGTGTGTGGGCGATCGACCCATCCTCCCCTCAGCCGCCAGTGCCACGGCGGCCCCCAAACTCCTGCCATGGCCTCAAGCAAGACCAGGGCCCTCACGTGCAAGGGCGGCAGGAACTCGGGGCAGGTGCAGACCCCATGGGCCGGGGCTCTGAAGGGAACAGCCTCCAAGGCTGCCTGGGTGGGCGCAGCGGCCCAGCCTCAGGGTGGTGGCAACCGCGTCCCCAGAGAGCGCACCTGGGGCAGGTGCGGACGGCGGCGGCCGCCAGGACTTGAGGAGGCAGGTGGGTGCTCCGGGGCCGGCGCCCTGCCACCGCTTGCCCCTCGTAGTCCTCCCCAGCCCCCTTGTCACCCGGGAGCAGGGCACTGCCTCTCGGACGTGTTGGAGGGACGCACCTGTGACCACGTCTCAGTCCCACCCCACAGACCAGACGCACAAATAAAGCCACCGCCGAGCCCCACGGGCGTGAGTTGCGTAAGAGCCACGTTTATTTCTGAATCGGACAGCGCCGTAAGTGCACACGAACAGTACAGGGGCCTACAGCTAACACTCGGAGTGAGACGGCAGGACTGCGTCGTTACGTGGGGACGGTGGTCGTGACACAGGGTCTGGGGGCCACAGCAGTCACATATGTACAAGCCGGGGATGCCACCTCCAAGCCACAGGGGAGCCCGGGGACGGGCGAGCTACAGAACACAGGCCCTAGAAGAACTTGGGTCGGCCACGGCTGCTGTCCACTGGGGGACCGCGTGGCCCCGGCCCCGGGGATGAGGGAGATCTCCTTCTGGGTCCCCACGCCAGGCGAAGCCGGCAGAGGACCAGCGCCAACGCAGCACACGCCTGTGACACCAGCTGCATCGGGGACCCCAAGGTGCCGGGACTCGGGGGCCAGGACCGGCAGGGAAGCCACCTCCGGGGGACGTGTGCGTGTGCACCTGTGTGGTCAGTGACCCCAACACTGGCGTCGTCTGAGCCCCTGCTCAGCGCGGGAGGCCTGGGACTTCCCACCCGAGCACGGCGGCGGGTCTCGCCAGAGCCGGAGGAGTGGCCCGCCTGCAGCCCGCGTCCCCTCCTCCGCCCGCCCCGCACGGCCACCCCAACCCGAACGGGGCCGCAGCCCGGGCAGCGCCAAGCGTCCACATCACGCCGCTGGACGGCGATGGCCTCCAGGTCTGCCTCACCCTCTGCAGCTGCGCCCGGTGGGGGCACCCTCCAAACCAGCCCCACCCCGCGTCCCGGGGCGGTCAGAGAATTGTCCTCGGCTCATACACGCAGGTCGTTTCGGGCAGGGTGGGTATGAGTAAGCCAGGTCCCCCAGCTCCCAGATGATTTCTCTCACTACCCCCTCTGGGCTTCTGGACCCTGACCCAGGACCCCCGACTGGAGCAGGCCTGGAGGGGGAGGGGCACCAGGCGGCCCACCCCGGCTCCGAGTGGTGCCCAGATGACAGCAGGCCTAAAGGAGACGGCCCCGGAGCCTCCGTGGCAGTGGAGGCTTCTGAATTTAGGGTGACGCCCAGGCCCCTTCCCTCCGCCCCCCCCACAGGCCACAGGTGCTCCGCAGGTTGGCTGGCCTGGGAGCCCTGCGGCGTGGCGGGAGGCCCAGACCTTTCGCTGCGGCTTCAGGGTGGCTGACCTGCTGGGCCGCGGCGGCCTGCGCCTCCCCTCGGCCTGCCCGGGCCGTGGGGTCCGACTCCCCCTCCCGCCTCTCCTCCCTGCCCCCTGGCCGTCCTGACCACCACGGCGGCGCTTGTCCAAGACATCGTGTGTCCAAGAGCACCTGTGGGGGGGCAGGCCCCTGGTCTGGGACAAGTTCAACATCAGTCTGGGGTGCGAGTCCGAGTCCTCACCGGGGAGACCTGCCGAGAAAGCTGCCAAGGCCTGTGCGTCACAGCTGTGGCCTCCTGAGACCCGACTCTCACTGACAGATCCCATGGCCACCTGGGAGGGCCTGCCGGGCCTGGGACCAGGGCGGTGGGCAAAGGTGGCCCCTGACACACCACACCTGAGCCCAGGTACAGAAAGGTGAGCACAGTCTCAACTTCCGCCTGGGCTCGTCCCAGCTGACAGGCAAGACCCCGCGGCCAGTGGGGACCCCAGCCCACTTGTCCTGCGTCCCACGTCTGGAGGCGAAAGCCAAGGACCTGCACAACTTGCTCAAAGACCACCTCACACCGGAACCTTCCCACTGGGCGCGAGTGGAGGACGCTCACCCTGACTCCGGGCACGTGCCTGTCTCTCCCCCAGGCCCAGCATGGGGAGTGTCCCCCTGTTCCACCCGTGCCACGCAGGGCTGGGCTGGGCTGAGGGGCCTCAGAACCAGCAGCCCATGGACCAGCACCAGATCTGCGTGTGGCCTGCTCGGCTGGGCCGTGGTGGGGACGGGTGCTGCTGCTCGGTTACCGTTTCCCCTTGAGCTACTGAGACGGGCCTGTGGGCACGACCTAGACCAGACCCTCGGCGTGGGGCTGACCCCCCGTCCCGCACGGCCCTCGGGCATCAGGGTCCGCAGAGGGGACAAGACAGGGGACACCTCCAAGTGTGGAAGGAAAGCGCTTGTGAGGACGATGACCGCCTCACTGCCTCACCAGGACACCCCCACCCATGGAATTTGCTCACTGCACCCACAGACCCTCCCTCCCCTGGAGGAAAGACAGGTCTTTGTACGAACCCCGTCCACTGCAGAATTTCTTCCCAGCTGCCTGAACCCACTCCGTGTCTCCCCGCAGCTGAGAGGCTGCACCCGAGCCCTCCGCACCCGGTCCGTCACCCTGAATCCCGACCTCCCCGCCATCCCTGTCCCTAAACAGCCGTCTGCCCAGCAGCTGGGGGCGGGGCTGCACTGCCCAGCTGGGGTCCTGACCCCTCTCCTCCTGATCCCTGCCCGGGACAGGCCCCACTGCCCGGGTGCTGTCTGACGCTTCGCCCCACACCTCCCCCGGGAGAAGCTGCCGGAATCGCTCTGAGAGTCCCACCTCAGGTGGCCGCCCCGCAGAGACGCAGTCTCCCCAGCAGTGACTCGCACCATCTTCCGTGCTGCTCAGACTTCAGGCACCAGGAGACCCCCCCACACCCGGGACGAGGGCCTAGGCAGGTGTCCCATGTGCCAACCAGACACTCCCTCACTATGGCCTTTGAAGGTGGCTGCTCCGGCCCTGTCTGTCCCGACAGGCTTGGGGGACGCACGTGGGCTCAGACGGGGCGGGGGTTCCCTCCGAATCCTACAGGTCTGCGTGGAGCCATTAGAAATAAATACTTATAAATAGGACATGGTCTTATAGTTAATTTCTGAGTGGACAGTTTCGACGTCACTAACTAACGTAGATTAATTGATAATAAGTCTGTCTATGCTTAAAAAAATATTAGAACGGCAGCGTAACCCCCGTGACCTGTGCCCTCCGGCCTGCCCCGCGTTTCCCGCCCAGAGCACGTTCTGAAAGAAACGATGACACGCACAGCCTCTGCTGGGAGCACGACCAGTCATGTGGCCCAGGTCCCGGCCCAGCAGGGCGGCCCCACGGGGGGACGTGATCACGAGCTGTCTGGTGGGGAGGGGCCGGCGGCAGACGACAGGACGAGGGGGCCGGGCCTGCTGGCTGTCGCGGGGGCTCCGTCAGACCCTCATCTGGGCAGACCTCCTCCGGGACAGCTTGGACCTGCAGGACAGCCAGGGGGATGGCAGTCAGAGCGGCGTCCACCAGGCCCACGCGGCAGGCACTGGGAGAGGCCACCACAGACCTCCTGTGTCCCCTTTAGTCCCCTCACCACCCCGTTTCCTGCCACAGGACGAGGAAGCCCGCCGGGGCGGGGCCCTCCCAGCCGCCCGCGTGTACGCAGTTGCCCACGCCAAGGCCCACCCACGCTGAACGGGCGTTTGTGACACATCCTTCGGGATTTATCACTTCACGAGTAGCAGTGACACAGATGCCCGCACGATCGTCCTTAAGGACGTCAGGACCCACGAGGAAGGCGCCGCGGCTGGCCCGTACCGGATGGTGCCGGCCAGGAGGGGGTTGAAGGCGTAGAGCCAGTCGTGCATGTCCTTGTCGCTGTTGGCCTGCAGCAGGATGCCGCGGTGCTCCGTGCACACCGCGAACGTGTTGGGCGTCTGCGAAAGGAGGCTCCGGTGAGACGGCGCGAGGCCTCCCGGCTGGTGAGCCTGTGCCCGCCCTGCTCCGCCAGGCCCGAGCGGCAGGGAAGGACCCCGCTGGGCCGCCCCCGGGACGAGCGAGCCGCAGGGAAGACCCCACCCCAGACGCAGAGCGGGGAAGGCTCTCCGCCAGCCCTGCCCACACCCGGGCTGGCCCCTTCCGGAAGCCCCTGCCCCCGGTGCGGTCGGTGTGGGTGGCACCTGCCTTTCCCCACCACGGGGGCTGGAAACCTTCCAGGGGGCACGGGAGCCACCCCCAGGTGGCCTGGAGAACCTTCCTCCTCAGCTCTCACCCAGGGCCGTAGCCAGCCCGGACAGGAGCCAGGCAGAGCGGCAGGAGGGCTCTTTGGCGCTCGCCCGCCCACCTCGGGGGAGCCTAGGAGGGGACCGGGTCACTGGCTGTCACGCGGGAGACCACTGACGCTGGCCCAGCGTCGGCCCACAGCCCATCCCCACCAGCGTACCCAGGACCCTGAGCCCCCGGGGCACAGGCAGGGGCTCGGAGAGGCTGAGCCCCCACGCCCCGCGCCCCCCGGGACAGGCCAGGAGGGCCCCGCGGGACCACAGGTGAGGGCGACGCTCCGTGCCCGCCCCGCTGAGGCCCCCCGTGCCGCACCTTGAGCATGGCCTGCTGGTCCTCGCTGTACTCCACCTGCGCGGTGGCGAGGTTGAGCACGAACCGCTCCACGCTGTCTTTGTCGCTGTTGTACATGTAGGCGTAGGGGCGCCGCACCACCACGAAGCGCCTGGCCCAGCCCGACGTGTGCGGCTCCAGGAAGTGCAGGTAGCCCTTCTTGGAGACGATCGGGCTGCGGCGGACACGGCTCGCGGTCAGCGGGGAAGCCGCATGGGGCATGCTGCCCACCGCCCTGGGAGCGCCCGCGGGGCTCCCCCTCCCAGGTCAGACAGGGCCAAGGCGTTGAAGGGCAGCTGCAGAACCCCAACCTGGGAGGCCGGAGACCAGAGCCCCCAACCCACCGACCATCCCTGGGCCGCAGTTTCCCTCGCTAGGACAAAGGAAAAAGCTGAGGTTGCCCTAGAGCTGCCACACCAGCCAATGACCACCAGGTTCCGCACCTGGACCCGGCCCCGAGCCACCCACCTGCCCTTTCCCTGGGCTCCTTCCCAGCCCCTGCGGGTGGGTCCCGGGCCCTGTCTGACCTCAGTGCGCAGCTGTGCCCGCAGGAAGTCATGAGACCCGCCTGACCCCTGGTACAGAGCTGACCCTGCAACAGGTGGGGGCAGCCTGCCGGTCCTCCCCCAGCGTGGGGTCAGAGATGTCCTGCCTGTCCCTTGCTGGCGTGGGGCTGGCTGGGTGCTGCTCCTGTCCTGGGCAGGGCCCACACACACCTGACCCGGATCTCCTGAATGTCGGGGACCAGCAGGCGCTGGGGCTCCTTGTCAGCCTCCGTCGACCGGACAGGGGAGGGGGTCTTCTTGGAGTCGGACTCCGGCAGCAGCTGCGGCTCGGGGCTGGCGGGCCGGGAGCAGGGCTGCGGGGCCCTGCGAAGCGGAGGGAGCTGCTGCAGCCCCCGGGAGGCCCAGGCTGGGCCCGGGGCCGTCTCTACCTGCACTTCATCCCCCAGGGCCGCTGTGGGGCATCGGCTGTGCCGGCAGTCGGAGCCCCAGGGCCCACCCTCAAGGCACGTGCAGGGCGCGGCAGGGACGTTCTCCTGCGACCTGGGGGCCGCCGGGGCAGGTGAGCCCAGCTGTGCGGGCTCCACACACTTCTCCCAAGGGGCTCTCCTGCCTCCACCTCCGCCCGTCAAAGCAGATGCGGCATCTGCTTTGAACTGAAGGCGACACAACGTCCTCAGGGGCTGTTAGAGCAGAGGGAGCTGCTGGCCTGGGGGCACCCGCCAGCCCCACAAAGGCCGCTCAGGGTGAGGGCCAGAGGGCGACGCCTTCTTCGAGAGTGGGGCCCCGAGCTGGGGTGGGGGCTCCTGTGTCCCGGGAGAAGGGCCGCAGACCCGCCCCTCCAGGCTCCACCCGAGACGCTCAGCCGCTGGTAATCCACGTTCTCTGCGCTCTGTGTCCCCAAGTCACAGCCACGGCCACGGGTCAGCGCAGGCTGGGAACCTCTCCGGGAGCCTGCAGCGAACTCACCTCAGGTCCGCGGCGCCGTAGCGCCCCTCAACCAGAGAGGGGCAGGTGGAGGAGGGGGTGAGCGTGGCTGCCCCCAGAGGGGACATAGACGGGTCCCGCAGCAGGGTGACAGACATCTCAGAGAGCTGCAGAAGAGAGGAACCCTTTTGTGGGGGACAGTCTCAGCCCCACGGTAGGACCCCTGAAGTGGCTGACTCTGTGCCTTTGCTCACACTTTACTTTCTCTTCGGGGCACCCCCATCCCTCCTCCCAGCAGCCTCAGCTCAAAGGTGGCCCCCGCAAGACCCCCGGCCACTCCCAGCCCCTACATGCCCCTGGCCGGCCCCTCCCAGGGCTTCCGGCTCTGCCCTGCTCCGGCGGCGGGGGCCGCCTCCCTGCGGGGTGGGCTGGGCAGGCTCTGAGTTGCCCCCTCCCGCCAGCACCCGTGTGGGGCCAGCGCTGGTGGTGTCCACGGGGGGCTGGCATGGAAGGCCGGCGGGGAGCTCAGAGCCTGACACCGTCCAGAGGAAGCTTCCCGAGGCTGTGGGACAAGGGTCAGCCCCCAGGGCCAGGGGACGCCCTGAGCGGTCTAGGACAGGGCAGCTGGCTGAGGGCCAGTGAGGGCAGGAAGAGAACAGGATTCTGCGAGGGCCTGGGGGGACCTCAGGTGGCCATGGACCGGGCTGACCCCTCACCCGTGCCCCCCACTCCATGGGCCCCAGGCAGCCACGGACGCGGGTCGTGGGCCTCAGGTCTAGGGCAGCCAGCCACTAGCCACGTGGTCCGCTCTGGAGCTAGCGGTGTGTCCCTAGGAAATGCCCCTGCCTTTCCCTTGGCAGCAGCTGCCACGGGTGCCCAAGCCCCACGGGGTGGCCCGGCAGCCACCCACCCACCTTGCTCTCGCTGGCGCTGACGCAGACGTGGCTGTGCGAGTACTCTCTGTTGAACGTGTGTGTGAGGAGGCGCAGGCACTGCAGACAGAGCACGTGGGGTCAGGTGCGTGGCTGCCCGGGACCCGGCTCTGCCGGGCACAGCCGAGGCTGCGCCACCCACCCCTCCCCCGACATGCAGCCAGCTGAGGCCGGGCACAGCGGGTCCAGGTGGCAGCATCTCCACCCCGCCCAGTGGGGGAGCCGGGGGACCTCCTGGGGCCTGGCGTGAAGGCTGGGGGCCGCGTCGCCCATGGCATGGGAGCCTTTCCCACTGCGCAGCCAGCAGCAGAGAGGGCCACCTCTGGGCAGAGGGGTGAGCTCCCCAGCAGCGCAGGTATTCAAGAGAGGGCAGGTCAATGCGCGGCAGAGGGCTGTAAAAGGCACCAGACTCCCAGTGCGGGTGAGGCGGGACGGGGCAGACCCCCACGCTCCCAGCTCCTGGTGGCTCTGACTAGAGCAGCCTCCGCCAATGCTGGGTCACGGGTGTCGCCCAGGAGTGACGCGGGGCCCCTGAGGGGCTGGGGACAGGCCGAGCTGCCCACCAGCTCAACCTGCCTTGACAGCCAGCTCCCGCTGCCTCTCGCTGGGCATCTCCAGGGGGGACGGCCGGCCCTCGGCCGAGAGCGGGGAGGAGGCGCTGGATGAGCTGTGGGACTCGGAGTCCTCGCTGGAGGCCGGGGACAGCGCTTCCGGGATGGGCCGCTGAGTGGTCTCCAGCTTCTCCCGCAGCAGCAGGTAGTGTCTGGTCTTC